AACAATAGTCACAAACGAGTAAACCAAAAGCAGGGAAATCTTGATGAATTCAGCAGAACCACAATGGTATTCTCTTGGAGGAGTGGAGTCATCGAAATGTGGGCGAGGTAAGAGTTGAAGAAATGGCAGTTTAAAGTATCAGTAAAGTTTTTCGTTTCAGTATTATCTAACTTTCTGGAAAGCCTGCCTACGCCAATAAATTTAGTATTCGAAAATGTGGTCTTGTAGGTCGGTTTTTGTTTTCAGGTCAAGGTGGCTTTTATAAATTAAGGATACCGAATGAATGACGCAGACTGAAGTCTGCACTAGGCAGCAGAGGGCACAGTTCTCAGGCTAAGATAAGATATTAATTGGAACAGTGTTGAATCGTAAAAGTTTGCTCTTCTTCAAAGATATAAAACGCATCCAAACAAAGCATATACCCCACCTTGATGGCCCTTTTAACTCTAAATCTGTCCATTAGTAAGTAGCTAGGACCTTTTTGAAAAGCTTCTGTTTCTAATCTATATTCATAAAAACCTGGCCATTCTAATATTCTATGCAGAACAATAAATCTAATTCCGAACCCACTCTTCACTTTGTTCCCGCTTTTCTCTCTCATCTCTCCTCACCATTCTCCTCTTTCCGTTCCCCGTCTGCCCACTCGCTGGCCAGCCAAAGGCAGGTCTACTCAGCAACTACTTCGATGGGAGTCTCACTACCCTCCGGCTCACCATGGCTGCCATGGACTTCACCGTTACCCACCTTAAAACCAGCCTCGGTCATCACAATCCTTTGGGATGGAGAAATTCGTTGGTATTCATCCATGTAAAGAGGACCGGAAAAAACAGTGCGCCTATCACCAAAGGAACGGTGATCTTTGACGCGTTCATATTCGCTGTACATAACGATTTTCGGCTGAAAAGGAAGAAATGGGCAAAGTTATTTAAAATCATTTGAGGTATGCAATAAAGCGAGTAGGTCTGTTTTATCTAGGATGTCTGAAGTCTGTTATGTTGGAAGGGTGATAGCCGAAGATCAATAGTACCTGATCATAGTATCAAAGTGTCTTCATTAAATATATATGAAGTTGCATATAGATATACAAATTTACATGTATAGTAATTAACTTACAGGGAGACCACTGAACTTAGCAGCTAATGGGTCGGGCTCATTTTGCACAGTCTTGGTCTTTCCCCTGACACGTTGGAGACGTAGTTGTACATGACAGTGTTTTGTGAAGTGAATACAAAGTAGGCAGAACCAAAGAGATAGGAGAGAAATAGGGGAGGAGATGAATTAGAGAGAAGGTAAAGTATTTTAGAGAATGACACGTACCACGAGGACAATATAAAACATATGAAAAAAAGCTGGATTTCGAAGAATACTTCATAACTCATTATTTTACTCCATATGAAAGATAGGATGGAAGCGATTCGTGATTTGGTCTTAGCAGAAACCGAAGAAGGATTGCCTTAGAGTGAATAACATTGGATTCTGCGGAGTACTCGGTTCACCTTCCTGTGGTCCTGACGAATCTTTGAAGAACTTCGTCCGTCATATGGCAGACATCGTCCAATCGATTACCAGTGTTTACGGACAAACGCGCTGATATATTAAGCCAACAAAAAAGGTTGCGTCTACATGAATACTTACCTATTATACCAAATTTTACCCTATACCCTGGTTCAGTATATCGATGTATTACTGCTTAAATCATGATTTCTGACTCTAACACTATCTCTTACATAACAGAAAAGCTCGACATGGATTCATCAGGGCCACAGGATGGTGAGCCGTGGACTTCTTATTACAGTCCAATAGCCACCACTTTAAGATAATCCTATTTCGGTTTCCGAGGGGGCCAGATTACGAATCCATTCCAACCAAATTTTCCCCTGAAATAAACATTCGAGTCAGATTGTACGAAGTTAATGAAGAGAGGCTGGGTTTTGAAGAATCCCTTGATAGATTGATACTGGCGTACCTTTGATTTTGTTAGAGAAGGCGGATCAAAGGGATTCGTAGATAAGCCTCACAGGATAGAGCAGGAGGGTTGCCTTGGACTTATGTTTGTTGAACTGTGCGAAGAAAACCTCAGCTCACCGTCCTACGACCCTGATGACTCCATGCTGAGCTTTCGTCCGTCATGTGAAGGACATCGTCAGAGCCAGAAACCATTATTCACAAAAAAATCACTAAAACATAAGAGGCTATCAGAACACACAACCGTCTGCAAAGATTAATGGGCTCAGAAATCGGAAGTTGGTGAAAATGTGGTCGTTACAGGACAGCAGATAAAGTAGTCTAAATCCCAACGTTTTGACAGATATAGGGACTTCACAGCTAGAAAGTAATATCAGAGTCAATTAAAATTTATAAAACAAAAAACATCCAGAATAACAGGAGCGAATATATGAAACTAAGTAATAACTATCTCTGCCTTCTAAAAAGAATGGACGAGAGA